ACTGAGGGCGTCGGCACGGATGGAACACGGAACTCACTTTCCCTTTTTAATGGTATTCCTGCCCAGCAGCGGGTCCAGCACGGGGTCCACGGTTTCGCCAATGTTCTCGATGAGCAAGGTGTGCCCTTCGGAAATGGCCTGCTCGATGATGTCCAGGTAGCTGCGGGACGACACGGGGGGCATTTAATGCGGGGGGCTCAGTGACAGCACCGCTGGGTGCCCCAGGGACAGCTGTCAGAGCAAGAAGGCACCTAAAGACGAGCGGCCGAGGGGCCAGCAGTGCATGTCCTCTGCGACCCGCCTTCCCCGAGGGGCGCTCCCCTCCGGGCCTATGGGAGCACAGCTCTGTTCTCACTTCTGTGTGTGGCTCCACGTCCCCAGTGCTCCAGGAAGGCGCACGGGGTGGCCTTAGTGACCGTCTGTAGCAAGGAAGCCAGCCCCGCTGGAGATAAGAAATGAGAAAATGACCAGCCGGAAGCCCGTTGGCCAGCACACGGCCGGGCGGGACGCAGCCCGGGCTGGAGTCCAGGTGAGCACTTCCTGCCCGCAGCTGTGGCAAGTACTGGGGGGAAGAGAGGAGAGCCCCGAGTTTGCTTCTTCACTCTTGCCGCTGTTCCCCAAGGCCAAATGTGGGAAAACAAATCCACCTGCAGGCCAGCATCTGTGTTTCAAGATCACCCATCCGTTTAACAAGGACGAAACACCCCAGGTGACTTTCCACACACAGGGGCCCAGCGGCCAGTGGCTACGCTTAGAGCCCGCCCCCCGCCCCAGGCCCCTCCGGCTCCTGCCTGCCACCATCACGCACCTCTTCTGTCCCAGGCGGATGGCTTTCAGTTCGAGGCCGTATTTGTTTTTGATCCACTTGATTCCTTGCAGCTGGGCGTCCACGATGAGGGGCCAGCGCTCTGTGTTGCACAGGATGGTGGCATTCTCAGTGGACATGCGGTCACTGGGGAGACCCTGGTTGTTCCAAGTGGCCACGTCCGCGTCATCGGTCAGTAGGCTCAAGGGGTCCAGACCTTCCGTGATCGGGATGGGGACCTGCCAGGGGGGAGCACTAGTCCTCAGAAGAGGTGATGTGGCCTTACTGCCCCGCGGGAAACAGCTCTCCAAGTGACACGGTAGGTCTGTGGTTAGACCACGGACAAGCCGTGTCGTCTGGAAGACAGCCAAGCGACTGACAGAGCCCCTGGGAACCCGCCAAGAAGGGCGGCAGCACGCTGGGCCACGATTTATTTATTTTAGAGCGAGGGCACCAGCAGGTGCACGTGTGAGTAAGCCGGCAGGGGCAGAGAGCGAGAGAGAGAGTGAGTCCCGGGCAGGCTCCACACTCGTGGCAGAGCCTGACACGGGGCTCAGTCCTACGACCCTGGGATCATGACCTGCGGCTGAAACCAAGAGTCAGATGCTCAACCAGCTGAGTCACCCAGGAGTCTCTGGGCCACAGTTGAAACCCACAATGGCCAGAGCGTCCGTGAGTGTGGCATTTGGCTGGGTCTGCCCTGCCAGGGGCCTCCCCAAGTTTCCTGAGCTACAAACGCAACCCAACCTCTTACCTTTAACTTATTTATATAAGGGATCCAAAATCTCTCCATCAGCTCGTTGCGGTATTTCTTGGTGAAGTAGCCCATGTAGGAGACGAAGGCGGAAATCAGCAGGACGTCCCCGCACAGGGTGACCCCCTGGCTTTTGAAGTTCTTCACCGACTCAGCCCAGCGGATGTTTTCCGATGCCAATCCCCCTACCAGCCTGAATGGAAACACGAGGTCAGTGGGGGCCAAGGGAAAGACCGGAAGGCGGCCTCCGCTTCTAATGCCGTGAGGCTTGGGCGTTTCCTATCCTTCCTTGGCTCAGAGCTTCGGCAGTGGAAATGCGTTGGGGGACGTTTGGGGGAAGGACTGCTTCAGGGAAGCAAAACTAATGCTTCCTGGAGGCAGCTGGGGACCGAGTTCTGCCTTGATGTCATTGCTCCGCTGACGTTATTTGAATGTTTCACCCACGTGCTATATAAAGCTGCAGCCCGGTCACCGCCGAGCGCGGGCTTGGCAAGTGACAGGTCCTGGTAGAGGTGGAGTGGCCACGGCGGCCACGGGCCAGTGTGGCATCCAGAGGGCAGCTGGCCCACGTGGAGCGGGGACTGCAGGGGACGCATCATGTGTCACGGGCCACCGGCCTGAGAACTGGTCCCTGACCCTAGATGTGACCCCACAAGCCTGAGAACATTGAAATATTTGTTGAAAGCGCAGGCCCACCGAGGCCAGTCCTTAGCATCACCCGAGGGGCCCTTGCCTCCCAGGGAGGCGCTTTGATTTTTTTTTGGCAGGCGTGGTCCAGTCTGCACCCTGCTGGAGGCTAGGGCCGTGCAGGCTGGGGGTCTCCCGGGGTCCCCGTGTCTCACTGACCACAGCTACAGTGGGCTGCCGGCCCCCTCCGGGGCAGAGAAAATACCACCAGAAGCCATGCACTAGGACCGACCCCTCCGGCAGCTCTGTGCCAGGCTCTGGGCGTCGCTTTCGGAAATCCAAAGACAAAGTCCTGAAGCCTTGCTGTCTACGGGGGCAGCCGCCGGCACATGTGGCCAGCCCACACCCGCGTGGCCGGTCTGAATTGACGTGTGTGTGTGGGTTTCAAGGGCCCGGGGGGGCGAACGTGCATCAGTGGTCTCACCGGTCATTCTTTTTTTTTTT